GGGATATTCAATCTTTTTATAAGTTTCAAATTTTCATAATAAACATGACTTTGCCTTACACCGCAATGAAAGATTAGCAGTTTTAAAAAATGCTACCTGTCCACAAATGGAGAAAATTAAAAAGCATATTACGCACTTATTTAAATGTAACAATCTTAGCATATCTGAAAAAAGCAACCTCAAAGTTTTGCACTACCTCGACGTAACTCTAATTTTCTGCAAACCAGTCATACCAACCCTATTACATACCTGATAATACTTTAAACTACATACATGCTCAATCTAACCACACTTCTAATATAATAAAACAATTACCTTGTAATGTTAAAATAAGATTTTCCAGAAATTCTAGTAGCAAAGAAGTGTTTAAGAAATCTGTATCTATTTATAATGAAGCACAACGAAACTCTGGTAATCTCTCCTATTAACCTCACCTAAAAAAATAACAAAAGAAAAACCGCACACAATCTGGTACAACTCTCCTTTTAGTAAAGATGCCACCGGAAAATGCTTTTTAAATTTGATTGCCCAATATTTTTCAATTAACCAAAAGTTACCTAAAATTTTTAACAAAAACACTGTAAAAATCATCCTCAGTTTCAGGTTAAACATAAAATCAGTAATAAATTTACACAACAAGCACATACTAAACAAAAATCAAACCATGAATAAAAATAACTGCAACTATCTTAATAAAAACAATTGCCCTTTACTCAATACTGCTTAACTCACAATATACCAAACAACTATCACTTTGGATAACCCCTCAATCATAAAATCATACATTGGTATAATTGAAACACCCTTTAAACTGAGTTTAAAGTGACTTTAAGTTCAAGCACCCTTTAAACTAAGATATGCATTTAAAATCATTCAAAACTCTTAAATATAAAAGCGGAACTGTCAAAAATATTTTGAAAAGTAAAAGTTAATAATAAAAATTTGGTGGTTAGTTGGAAAATAATTAGACGATAATTAACGCACTTGGCTCAGAAACAAAGGATCCGTGATTCAAACCCCACCTCTGGGCAAGATTTGTGACATCGGTTAGGAAGGAGGTGTGAACTTCCAATTAAATGCTTATCCGCAATGTTCTGTGATAAGGCCGTGAGGACTTATTGGGGCACCTAAATAAAATTAAAAAAAAAAAGTGAAGCGTATAACCTGACAACAAAATCGTGCAAGTTTTGTCTTAATGAAAATATGAATCTATTTCAAACAATGACAACAGTTTATTAAATGAAAAAAAAAAAAAAAATGAAATTATATAAAAACATCGACATAGAAATAAATTCCTTTTTTGCCAATTCAACACAGGGTAAAACTAGACTAAAGCATCATGTCATCAATTTTTTTAAATTAGATCCTATTGCATTGCTTACTTTGTATTTTTAATGTCTTGATTTAAAAAAATATATAGATGATTATAGCCGTCAGGCAGTAATCAGCCAAATTTTTTTAGTCGGCAAAATGGACACTGGAGTTGACAAAATTGGATCTATAGTTGGCAGTCGACAAATGTTGGCTAACAAGGACCTTTTTTTATTGTTAAATTAGCTTTTAGTTCGCAAAAAGCAGATATGTCACCCCCCCCCCCCTTAATAATATCTCTTTGGAACGGTCCTGTTAGCCCTGTTAGTGGTGGTGACCTTGTTTACTCTGTCTTTCAGATTGTGCTATATCCCTTCAACTGGGTTCATGTCAGGACTACTTGCTGACCAGAGCATCACCTCAATACCGATGTCAAACATTATCCTTGATAATTTTTGCCGTACAGCAGTGTACCCTACCTTTCATGTAAATGCAGATCCCATCAAGAAACCAGTTCTCTAGCGGAGGAATCAGACAACTTTTAACTTTCTTGTACTACAACGTATAGACGTCCAGGTCCTTTGAAAGATATCATGCTCTAAACCCTTACTTTACTCAAATGTTTGACCTTCTGCACCAGACACTGTGATAGAAATTCTTTTCCTGGTCTTCTTATTACATAGCGGCAATTGTTGAGCAATGTTTCCAGTGTTGATTCATCAGAAAAAAATCCTTAAACATACACATACACATATACAGTGGATTACACAGAACACTGTTGCAGGCTTACAGTTACTACAGTTAATCTTATTCTAGTAATTTAAATTAAAGTTAATTTAATTTGTGTGTCACTAATCAAATTAAAAAATTCTTCTTCAGGATAGTATGGAAGTAATCAAAAATTTAGACAACTCGCCATTTTATTGTCCTCCACTGTCCACGTGGCAAATTGTTTGGCAAATTGATGTTTTTTGCACCACAATATTCCTAAAATTCCAGAAATTCTTGCATAATTGATTATTAAAAATAAAATTAAATTGAGTTTGTTTAGAAATTTGTATTTTTTGCCCGATTTATCTATAGGTTTATCTTCATTGCGCTGTTGGACAATGGTTTTTTGTTTTAATTTACACAGTCTTATTAATTTTAATTTTATTTATTTAAGGTGCCCCAATAAGTCCTTAAGGTCTTATTACAGAGCACCGCGGAAGAGCATTTGAAAGCAAGTTAACGCCTTCTTTCTTACCGATGTTATAAAACTTGCCCAAAGGTGACGCTGAACCGCGAACCTTTAGCTTCTGAGGTAAGCGCTAATCACTGCGTTACGGTGCTACAAAATTTCAGGCCGAAATGCCGGAAGTCCGGCCTGAAATATTGTAAATTCGAGCAGAACCATAACAACCTAAAAGTCACAGAGTCCGGTACATCCCTACTAATTTTAAAACTTTTTCACTGATTTTAGAGCTTCTTTTTTTGTATTCATTGAAAATAGCTAACAACAGTGTCTACTTTTCCGTCCGGTAGATCTAGTGCTTGTAACTTAACTTCTCTTTGTTTATTTTTCAACACAAACACCTGATAACACATGTTATTCTTGGTGACCAATACCGTCTATGGTAGACGGTATTCGTCACCAAAGTGCAGTGAACAGCTTGCTAAATTTAGTGTTTTCTTTACACAAACAGGTAGATTTTACAGCTTCTTTGATAGTTGACCTGAATTTACCTGACTGTGAAGGTTTCTGAATGTCAATCCTACCTTGAGAGAGCTGTTGTCAAATGTTGCTGTTTTGCTGGTTGATAACTTTGAAGATGTTACTAATTCCGTTGTAGTTTTGGTTTTGCTGTAGTTCTTGCTGGTACTTCTGAACTGTTCTTTTGAATCTTTAAACTCTTAATGTTCTGCCTAAGATTAGGATTCAGAAAATGACGTTTTTGCTGTTGTTGTTACTGTTGGTCCTACATACATGTTGGTAACATAACCATTAGCTTTAAATTGTTTAAACATAGTCCACAGTAAAGCAATAATTGGCGTAGAGGTGACAGCAGATATCTTTAAAGAATTCTTGAATACACTTAAAAGTATTTTTGGGGAGGAAGAAGAGTTTACCTTGATGATGGGCAACATTAACTTTCATCATTCATTATTAGATATTTATGATAGTTATCCCAATGATATTCATTTTTTCCCCGATACTCACCTTTTCTAAACTCTAGTGAGGCGACCTTCTCAAAAATTAAGAGTATAAGAAGAAAAATAGTTCTGATTTGAACAATTTATTAGAATAAATGAGGAACGGTTGTGAGCCCATTACTGAGCATGATCTTTCAAATTTTGCAAGACACTGCAAATCTTTTTTTAAGCAATGTTTTACTCGAGAATACAACATTAATAGAGAATAAAAGTCGCTAATTTTTAAAAACTTGTTTATTAAAACTTGTATATATATATATATATATATATATATATATATATATATATATATATATATATATATATATATATATATATATATATATATATATATATATATATATATATATTATATTATATATATATATATATATATATATATATATATATATATGTATATATATATATATATATATATATATATATATATATATATATATATATATATATATATATATATATATATATATATATTACTACTCAATGCTATTGGATCAGACTATTTGTTACATACCTAAATTTGTTTTTAACTGGAATATGTGGAATTTTTTTTATTACTAATCATATAAGCAATTCATAACATGTATCGTAAAACTGATATAAATTTTTAAACTGCCAGATTGAATGCAAAAAACCACCAGATTAATTGCAAAAACCGGTAAAACCGTAGGAGATTCTTCACCCAAATTGCCTTATTTTTTTCAGTAGTGGAGGCACTTTTCTTAAAACTTAGAAAGGATTTTGAAGGTTCTAGATTATTTTGGAATTTTTTTAATTTTATTTATTTAAATATAGGTCTTTGAACTTTTATATTTTGCATTTTGCAAAATTTATTCTTTTGGAAACTATACAATCCGAAACTATGGTTTCAATTTTTTTTAAATTCTGCACCAATTTTTTAAATTTTAACCCTATAAAAGAAAACAATAACACTGTACCGAAGAACTGACGTCTACCTTACATGGCTACCTTACATTTTTTTTTATTTTAAAAAATTTATCTTATTGAACAGAGCTAAGTCGGAAAAAGTTTTAGTTAGGCAAATTTTTTCAGACAAAATTTTATTTAATTTTTTTTTTACTTTTTATAAACACCTATAATCATTTTAAAGTAAAAATTAGTAATCTACGAAGGCAAAGAGAAAATAAGTAAAATAAATAAAACATTTTATAAAAATTTCTATAACAATGAATCAGGGTTACAATAACAAAATTTTCAGATATTGTTTTTAATTTTATGCTCTTATTCTCTAATAAATAAAAACTATTAAAAATAAAAGTTTAATAAAAAAGTTATAAGAAGGCCGAGTTAATAGATTACTATTTTCTTTGTTATCTTGTAGCATATAGTAATCAATTATAATCATATTTTCAAGGTAAATAGACTTAGTCATACTCACAAGGTAATGGTAAATATCTTTAAATACCTCGAAAAAATTTTATAACTTTTTCCCGACTTAGTTTTAACTTAATATGGTATAAAACTTCTTTAAACACCTTTTCATATTGCTCATTGCAGTCCAACTTGGCTTTTTGTTGGTGAGTAGCATTAAGTGGTTTGTAGTTAATAGTAATTCCACCAATATGAACATAACCTGCTTTGTAATCTTCGCATCGAATTGTCACCGGAAGGATTGAAGACTCCACTAAATAACGTATTTAAGGTTGTAAGTTTTTAAAGGTAAGTTAGATATTTAGAAACAAAAAAAAATAAATAAATATAATAGTCAATGACTGAAAAATAAACAATCAAAACGTGGTTTGCCACAATAAAAAAAACTATTATTCTTTTTTGTACATTTTCTTTAGAAGAAAAAAATTAATGCATCTAATTATTTTAAACTAGCAACAGAAAAAACAATACGCATTCAATACATTTCAGTTTTATCATCCTTTAACATTTTGTTTTATATATATATATATATATATATATATATATATATATATATATATATATATATATATATATATATATATATATATATATATATATATATATATATATATGTATGCATATATATATGTATATGTATATATATATATATATATATATATATATATATTATATATATATATATATATATATATATATATATATATATATATATATATATATATATATATATATATATATATATATATATATATATATATATATATATATATTAGAATGATCCACAAAAGCAAAGTAACAAAATTCAGTTGTCCATAAGGTTATCTTTGTTCTTTATTATGATTATAACAATTGTACAAAATTTCAAAGAAAAAAAATAATATTTAGGGGTCAAACCATTTGATATTTTTAGGTTATCTCAAATAAAGTAGTTTTTGTCGAATATCGATTATCGATTTAAAACTTAAGATTAAAATTAAAAATTAAGTTAAAGTTAAAAAATAAAAGCTGTTATTAGAAAATGTAACTAAAAATTATAATCTAATAAAGAATTTAGTTTTAAAATTTGACAGTTTTTAGATGAGCTGTACCACAGTTCCACAGTGAATAATCTACGACATAAGTGATACCTTTGATGGAGTTATACATTTTTGCGATGTTTTGCAACTAATTGAAGAATAAACTGTTTTTGTTCCTCGTTTTTTGTCAGTATGTTATTGTATTTCTCAATGAGACTGATTCCCCTTTTAGCTACATCATTTACAACTGTTATGTGTTCAGCCAGTTCACAAAACTTCGTAAAGACTGGACTGGATCCACTGCTCTGGCAGTTTCTTAAGAAATGTCTGTGATTTTTCTTTCCCTTCTTCCTCAAGAATATCAAAGATAAATATTGTTTTTCCAGTCACCAGATTCTCCAATTTCAATTGTTTAGATTCACATGTCAACTTTACACGCCGAGGGGTGTCTGCCAATGCTGGTCAATGTAGATTTTGTACAATCTTTTTTTTGATTGATGCTGATACTTTGTCATCTAAAAAGGTCATGCCAACTAGATGCTCAGAGAGAAACCAGATGTGCCTAAAAATACTTCATGTGCCTTACTGGCAACAGTCTGGTTTGGATAGGTCTTCAGATTTAACAAAAATTCGATGTCATTGAGAGGGGCTCTGATTCCAAGTGGTGCTTCGTTCCACTGTTTGACATAAACAAGACTGAAAAACAAAACCATATCTGTGATATTCTTGAATTCACAAGCAGTCAACTTGAACTGAGTCTTAAAAAGAAAGATTTTCAGTGCGTAAATGGTTTTTGTCATCTATCGCGCATGATGTGTTAGACCTGGAGCTCAAAATTTGTCACTGCCTTTTTGTCCACCAAGAAACCAGAAGGATAAAGTTAACGTTCCTGATAATCGTCCTTTGGCTGCTATGTTTCAAGAGCACTTAGTAAATAGACAAACATTTCCTGTTGCATCTTCTTCAATTTTGAATCCTGAAACAGTTCGTCAGTTGCTGTAAACATGTTGATCCATTGATCGCCATTGTTTCTGAAATCTTTTAAATAGTGCACTTGATGGACCTTCAGATGGACCAAACAGAGAAACACGAAAACATTTGAAAGGAAAACTTCCATTACATGATGACGGCATGCAATCCAGACTATTTCAGTTCCCAGAACTTCTTCAATTCTAACACATGCGCTGTTATGAAGTCCTGTATTGCTAGCTGTTGTGGCGAATACCTTTGATCTGTAACTTTTAATCTGTGAACGCAGATTCCATTTCTCAACTACTTCAATACATGCATTTGCTTGAACCTCTCCTGTTCCTCTATTCATTTTCGGAATAGATAACAGTTTTTTTTTTGCCATTTCCAGTAACAATAACAGCTATCCGATCCACATTTTCCTTTGAGCCATCAATGTCGGGCAATATTTTGCTGTCCCAATGCAGGAATAGTGGTCCTGTCAAAGAAAATTCTTTTTCATCCATTGCAGCAGCTTGTTGTCTTTTATTCTGAATTATTTTGAGACAATGTTATTTCTGAAACGTCATGGCCAAGCCAAAGCTCCACAGTTTGGGAAGCAAACGCAATCCAAAGCACCTACAACTTCAGGGGACTGGAAGATATTCTTAAATTTATTTTGTGATGATGAAGAACAAGTTGTTAAATCTGTTAATTTTGACGTTTCAGGCGTACATGGCTGAGTTTAAGTTGGCTGATACTCCTCATCTTCTTGTGACTCCAAACTAGATGTCAACGACAAAAGTTCACCTTCTATTTCATTAATGTCCTTTGTCATGCGTTCTTCATATCTCATTTTCACCTTTCTCTCTTTTTTCTCTAGTTGCCTCTTCCTGCTTTCATGTCTTTTTTCATCCTGTTGCTTTCTCGTTCTTGTGTTCGGTGTACCTTCATAGTCAGATAGTTCTGATGCAGCTTTGACAGTTTTTTGACACATAAGTCAACACGCTGCGTTGGTTTCCTTGCTCGCATCCATATACAAATAACTGCACCATAAGACATTTTATAACTTTCTGGAAGGGTTTGTCCTTCATTTAAATGATGAAACTGGAACAGTTGAAGTACATCCAGCATACGTGGTAATCTTGCTGTAGATAACTGAGAAACTGGCTTTCCAATTAGCCAGTGCTCTGAGTCGGATCTCAAACTGGATGAAGCCATTTTATATAGTTTAGTTTATTATTTAAAGAGTTCAATGTCAATTCAATATTAAATCAGTAACACCTTCAAAATAAAAAAAAACATGCACATTAGAATTCAGTGCACAAGTAAGTAAGTAAACTAATTTATTACTCATCACAGTCAGACGGACATGGCAAGCGCAGACGCCGACAAGTATTGCGGATAATGGGTTGATCTCTAAATGTTGCTCAATCAGCCTAAAATTTTGCAGGCCAAATACCTATACCAAATGGACAAAAACAAGCCATGTGGAGCATTGATTCTACAAATTAAATTTTCCATTATGGTTTTGTGGACCACCCTAATATATATATATATATATATATATATATATATATATATATATATATATATATATATATATATATATATATATATATATATATATATATATATATATATATATATATATATATATATATATATATATATATATATATATATATATATATATACATATATATATATATATATATATATATATATATATATATATATATATATATATATATATATATATATATATATATATATATATATATATATATATATTTGTTTTTAGAATATTTGTTTCTCATACTCATATGTTTCTGGATATTATTATTAAAGATATCTATGGTGATATTGTTATCTAGGAAAAAAACAACAGCTTTTTTAAAATTAACTTTTTATTTTTTCTAATTTCTGAAATGTTTAAAAAAGTTATCTATAAAGAAATAAATGTTTTACCTTTTCAAAAGGTTGGCTTTTTTTTGGTTTATTATAGGAACTATTAATTGCTACCAGCTCAGAGGAATGATAAATTTTTTCCCAAAAATTATTTCACAGAGTGTAAAAACAAAGACAATTAGCCCCGGTTTTTTTACTCCATGTTTATCCCGGATTATTTGAAACCGCGTAGAGCTACTGTATATATTAGGTTTCAAAAAAACATTCAAAAACAAATGTTTAATTACAGGTATAGTGCCCTTAAAAAGACAACAAATTTAAATTGGCTCGAATTATTTTAGAGAGTCTAATGTTTTTTTAATTGTTTTTTTTTAATTTGTTTAAAGTCATATAATTTCTTCCTGGCAGTTGAAAACAGTTATCAAATATTTTTAAAATGTTTTATTTGCGTTTGAAATTTCTCTTTTTTGAGCAAGGTGCCCTTAAAAAGACAATCTTGTTATTGTACATATCTCCTAAATGATTAACTCAATCTGGGAGATATTTTAATGATTAACTCAATTTGGGTGATAATTTGCATTTGGGAGATATTTTGGATTATCTGCCTAGTATAGGTATCTTATGATCTGGAATTATTTAATAATTTTTTAAAATAATTAGAAAAATCATGAATTTTCACCCAAATAATGCATAACGTAATGAACATTAAAAATCTCTTTTTCTAAAATTATTTCAATAATATTGTAATTTTTTCTTACCTTGAAGTTTGTTTTAAAAGGTCGTACTTCTTATAACAGTTCAATTTCTTTTAATTGCTACTTATTGTTTTGCAACTTCAAAAAAAAGATATGAAAGTAAGTAAATTGCTGTTTTGTGTTTTTACATTACTTTATATTGTGTTTTTACATTACTTTATATTACTTTATACTATATATTTTACATTACTTTAAATGTACAGTAATTGTATATTATAAAATAAAAACAAAAATGAAACGAAAATTTAACTTAAGAGTAGCAGCGAATGCAAACTCTGTAATTAAAAAGCCAAGGAATGAATCTGAAGCACCTGAAAAGAAATTTAACCAAGATGAAAGAAACAAGCAGAAAGCTGTAAAATGGTGCAAAATTAATGGAAAACGAGGATATTCTGCAATATTAACAGGTCAGTTTCAGTTAATAAAAAGCAAAATTGTGATTGGTAAGCGATTTGATAACCTAGTTCTCATTGAAATAAAAAAAAAACCATGTAATGATACTAACCAATGAAGAAGAAGATTCTACTGTTGAGTATGTGCGCTGTAAAATTCAAGCTTATTAAGGCATGAACAGAAAAAAACTAACAAATTTTATTATGGGTGTGTTAAAAAGTTGAGATCATTTAAAAAAAAAAATGAAAGGTGGAAGAAAGTTTATTACTTTGGCTGCAAATAGTAAGAAAGCTCTTTTGAAGAAAAGGTAAAAATTTTCTATAATATTATTAAATATAGAAACTGTAAGTTTCTGTGTTCATGTCAGTTTCAAACAAATTTAAAGAAAAAAGAAAATTAAAAATAAGTACCGTGCTTTATTATGTAAATCCCTCATATATAGTACTGCATTTTACTTTTCAATATCTAAACCCCAAACAAAATTTGATCTCGAAAACTGTATTTATTATTTGTGCAAAGTCTTACTTGTATTGACAAATGTAATTCTTTACTACAGCATTGAAAAGCTTGTTTTATTATTATTATATTTTTATTTCTAGCCAAAGTAATAAGTAAGTCATTTTGGAGACAATGGGATGCAAAACACGTCAATGTTTCCTTAAAAAGACATGGAGTCATCACTATGAATAGTACGATAAATCATACTCGTGAAATGACCTCCTCTCGTTTAGGTATTAACAAATTTTAATATCTTAAAAGTAAACTGTTTTTACTAGGATTTGAAACTAGATTAAATGACAGATAAACTAGATTAAATGACTAGATTAGACTTTATCAAAATAAGTCAGAAATAGCAAAAAAGATTTAAAAATAGGAATCATATTCTAATTTAGTTTTTGAAGGAAAATGTTAAAGAGTGTTCACTATTTTTAAGATGGCCTTGCAAAATAATTGGTTTGTATCATTATGATTGAAGAAAATTAAGGAGCATCTCGTCACTGGACTGATCAAACTGAATTGGATTAGTCCAGTGACCAGATGCTCCTTAATTTTCTCGGATCTTCAATCACGATGAAACACCACAGTTTGTTAAATATGGCATTAATGGTTCAGCTAGCGGATTAGTATATGGTATGCGTGGTGAAAGCCGTAAAAAAATAAATTGTTATAGGGGAGAGTGGGGGTAATGGCGAATACGGGTTAGCTCTGAACATGGTTAAAACAGCATTAAAGAAAAATAAATTTTACAATTTCTTTTTACCTGCTGAGAGGGCATCCCATTCTCAGTTCCAGACGTGCAATAGTGTTATGAAGCTGCGATTGTTTATCACTATAACTTGATAATAACTTTTTCTGATAAATTTATACAACTTTTTTCTTGAGTAACATTCTGTTTTAGCTTCTTTGGATATTAAAACAATCCTTTTTTTTTTGTAATTCCGAACACCAATGGTTTTATTTTTGCCCTTAAATTTTTTTTATAATAAGATTTGTAAAAATTGCCTTTTAGGGTTGTGACTGAATAGGTAAACTAACTGATAAGCAATTAGTATGATAAACTTTGTATAACTGGTGTCGTTATTTTGCATTCCCGCTTAGGTAATCACCAATACCCCATTCTCCCCTAATCGTAAATGTGTTACAATAAGTTCAATGGTGTCATTATCTGGCACATTATATTAAATACAAATTTTTTAACTTAAAATTATTATATTATGCTATATAGTACTAGATATTGAAATCTATTTCATAAATTTTATTTTCTATATATAAAGATATAGTCAAAAAATGGCAAATTTGGTAATAAGTATATTTTAAGACAACACATATAATTTAGATTTGAAATTTCGGACTTATTTTGGCTATTTAAATCATTATTTAGGCAAAAAATGCATTTGCAATGTAATGTTTAGTACTCAAGAATTACTAGACAAATGGCTTCACTAAATGCTGTTCGAAGTATTCCAAACTTATTGATTTTGACAACAGAGAGTGGACCACACCAGAGTCAATACAAAAAGCCGGGAAGAAGGTCGGTATTAGTAATACAAGCTTAAACGTAAAATTTATGCAAATAGATAATTTCCAATAAACTGCTGTGTTAGTAGAAGAAGTTCGAAAAAACAATTCTATAAAAAAAACATCTCAACAACATACAACGGTGTGTTTATCAGCTGCTTTCTTTAATGTTACTGATATTTCATCAGTTCTAAATGGCTGAAAATAAGTTCTCCTATATTTATAAAACAAAAAAACAGCCAAATATATTGGAAAGAAAAAGCTTCAAGCTAGAATGAAAAATGTTTGTCACTACAGAAAATCATTGCAGACTTACATGAAAAAAGTATTAATCTTAATGAAATACTAATCTTAAAATATTAATCTTAATGAAATACTGAAATACTAGGTCTACAAAATTTAGTGTATTATGTAATAAATTAAGAAATAATTAACTACTAGAGTAACACAAGTTCATGGCTCCATGGAGGGTTAAGATGTGCTAAAACTTGTAGAGTCTGTTAACAACTCGAAGAAGAATAAAGTGCAGGAGAAAGAAGGCAAAGAAAGAAAAAAGGGAGATGAAACTGAGTTGTTTTGTCATAGAAATATGCGTTTTAGACAAAAGCATTTGCAAAACTTAATCAATGCTCTGTGTCAAACTGTTATGAAATTGGTATGTGGTAAATCAAAGTGCATTATAGATGGTAAACCAATTATGATTTTACCTAAATGCACAACAAAAAAAAATAACCGCTGCAAGTTGTTTAGAAAGGCTGACAATGAAGAAGACAGTATTAAAGATTTTTAAATCAATAGATTCCATTATATCGGTAGAGTCTTTGTTATTATTGATTAAAAAATTGTTGTCATCATTAAAAACAGAGCTTTGCTTGTTATTTTGAATTGTTTTTTTTTTTTAGAATTAAAAAAAAAAAGGGAAAAAATGTTAAAACTAAACGGTGGTCTTAAAAAGACAAAAATATTAACACTTTCAAAGTGTTTTTTTAACAATCAAAGTATAAAACAAGTAAAAAACAATTTTCTGATAAAGATCCTATTCATAGTTTACGTATTTAAATTTTTAAATTTTATGTTAAATATTAGTCAATTTTTATTCTCAAATTTTTTAAAATTCTATCTTCTGAGACAAAATTAGAAAAATTTTTAAACTTCTGCACTATAACTTAACTTTTTTCTAAACGTTTTTATGGCTTGTTTATATTTTGGAATATCCAAACTTTTGTTTATTTTGGAAAATCCAAACTTTTGTTTATTTTGAAATATCCAAACTTTTGTTTATTTTGGAATATCCAAACTTTTGTTTAATTTTGGTGAACAATAGTTATCAGCCATATAACTTTTTTATCTTTTTAAGGGCACTGTTTGTTTAAGGGCACTCTACCTGTAATTGTTTTTCGCTTTTCACGACAGAATAGTTGCAACTAGTTTTTGAGCGCAGATTATAACGCAGGGTTGTTATCTGTTAAATATGTCTGAGATAATTAATTTGATTTAATATTATTTAAAACAATTCAGAAATAATTTAATGTCTGAATTATTTTCTGCTGACATAAAATGTCTGACATATTTTCAATTGAAGTATTTTGGCATAATTTTATGTCTGAATTATTTTCATTACATCAGCTTGTAAAAGCTGATGAATCTGGTATCCATAACCCAGCGAAAATTTCTTACAAAATAAAATTATTAGTATTGAGAGAAACTGTATTTTTTAATGTTTTAAAATTATATATATATATATATATATATATATATATATATATATATATATATATATATATATATATATATATATACATATATATTATATATATACATATATATATATATATATATATATATATATATATATATATATATATATATATATATATATATATATATATATATATATATATATATATATATATATATATATATATATATATATATATATATATATATATATATATATATATATATATATATATATAGATAGATAGATAGATAGATAGATAGATAGATATTTGTCAAAAAGATTTATTCGTCAATGTCGTAGACGTAAAATTTCCAACTTTTAACTTTTGTTTTGAATAATAAAACTACTAATTTGGTCTATTTAATTTATTAGTTTTAAAAAAAAAAGAACTTTTTTAAATACTCAAACTTTTGCAAATAATCATATAAAATGAAAGTTGATGTCAAATATTTAACATTTGTTTCTGGTTAATATTCAATTGCATTGAAGCAAACGAGCAATTATTTTTTATTACATCTGCCGGCGGGAGGCAAATATTTCCGCCTCCAATATGGCGGCCGAAGCCAGTTAGGAGGCAGAAGCCATTCGAGACGGCCTCCTAATGATTCTGCCTCCACAATTTTTTCTGGAGGCAGCCATCAATGGCTTCCGCCTTCCTAATGGCGTCGGCCTCCAAAACATTTTGCCTCCAAAAAATAACTCTGGCTTCGGCCGCCAATAGAAGGGCAGAAGCTACTGGAGGCGGAAGAAAGAACAATTTGCCGCTAAAAATTGAATGGGAGGTCGCCGCTAACAGCTTTCGCCTCCCTAAAAAGTTGGCCTATGAGTAGAAAGTTACTTTGCCACCTATTATTGCGGCATTATTTACTCTGATTTTATAACAAGAAAATCATTTAAGTTAAAGTTAATTAAAATTTGATAAAGTTTATTTTATTTATTGCTAAAGCATTTCTATTAGTTTGCAATTATTTTTAAATAAATTGTTGACCGTTTAGTTAAAGAAAATAAATCTATTTTAGTTATATTTTTCAAATTTTTTGCTTTAACAATAGCATTAAACTCTACAAAGATTACATCTAAGAACTATGTATTATTTTTTGAAATAACTTGCATATTTATACATTAGTTATGACTTTAATTAAGCTAACTTACTGATCCTTCCTTTGAATCTGAGAGATACCTCATTGCCGGATACACTTGAAATGAATGAAACAAAAAATAAAAATATTATCATCTTCATAATGAAAAGTTACTATCCTCTCAAACGTTATATGTTTTAAAATTGATCTTTTTAAAAAAAAAAAAAATTAACAGTTTAGGCGTTTCACCGTCGTTATGACGATAAGTAAACTATACAAAAATGTTGAAGTAACATGAAAAAATTTTTTTTTAACTAAAAGTATATTTTTTTCTAAAATATTAACAAAGTGCTATTTTGTTGCAAACTTTTTTTTTTTGTTTTAACAATCTTTGTTTCACCGACCCATACATTCTTATGCCTGCGCTTTTGTTACGCTGAGTCATTGTTACACCAAGCAAATAAGGTTGCTGAAACTAGGTTTTTATTTAATCACAATACAAATTTTATTTATTAATAAAGAAGATTTTGGTTTCAACTTTTTTTTTTTTTTTTTTTTTTTTGTCAAAACATGATGATAAAAAAATAAACTGCTTTTTTTTACAAGCTCAAACATAAAAAACAGAATGCGATTTATCTCTAAGAAATGTTCAAAATCATTTTCAATGTATTTACATAGACTATTCCGTTACAGATTTTAAAATCATTTGCTTAAAGGTTACCTAAAAATATTCATCAAGTATCTAGCGTTTTTAGGAGCAAAAATTTAAATTATTCTTTATAGTAGTTTTATAATGGACATTCATCATGCGCAACAATATGTTTTGCAGAAATACATGTAAAAATAAATCGGCCGCGGTTAAAAAGAGATTAAATTTTAAAATTTTTTAACTTTAAAATGTTATTTATTCGTAGATAGTATATAAATTTATCTCTAAGGAATGTTGTCAAAACAATTTTTTAGATACGAAAGGTTCACCGAAAATAACTAGTTGAAAAAAAAATTCTGGTCGAGTTTAACTTATGCATACATTATGTCATAAATTTGAGCGTTATAACTACTACCTGGGGTCGATGTTATTAAACTTTATACCGGCGTAAAATACAGCGGGACTTGTTAACTTGTTAAATCAATCAATGTCATTTTCCAGCTATTCCACTGATATATATTTTACCTATACGTGTGTAAATATATAATCACCTACACATTTATAAACATAATTTGTTTCTTAATAAAGAATAGACTATTTTGTAGTTAAGAATTATAGCTAATATTGCGTGAATGTAATTACCAACAAAATGTTTATTATGTCCCATATTAAAAGTTTTGAACTCCTAATAAATAAAAGACTTCGTCAGTAAGAACTTCTTTATATGGTCATTTATTTTTTTAGATTATTTAATCAGAATCAAAATGAATCAGAACCAAAAAGTATTTTCAGTAGTTTTAATTATGCGTAAAGTAGTTTTAATTATGAGTAAAGTAGTTTTAATTATGTGTAAAATAGTTTTAATTATGTGTAAAGTAGTTTTAATTATGTGATCTTTAACAAATATGGTGATTGATCCTGAGATAAATACTATGGGTACTGTAATAAAAGCATACAAATTTAAAAATATCCAATCTATTATTCATTATTTCTATTTATCAATCTTAATTGAATATTATAATAAAGCTGCAAATAGTTACCTTTGCTTTATTTTTTCTTTTATATATATATAATAAGCTGTATTAACGAATTGAATTTAAATACTTGTTTCATATTTTCATCATTTTAAAGGTTAGTACTTTAAGAGCTTCTGTAATAATACGTGCTTTGCCAAATGCCTTAAACTCCTCTTAAATTAATGTGAAAATTAAATATATATATATATATATATATATATATATATATATATATATATATATATATATATATATATATATATATATATATATATATATATATATATATATATATATATATATATATATATATATATATATATATATATATATATAAAAGAGATAAAACAAAAAATAAAAAGTAATTGAAAAAAAGTTTTAAAAGAGAAACAACTTAATATTAGAACTGCACCCTCAGCTTCTACTGTTTGTTTATAGATAAAGAAGTTTGATTTAATTCTTTAGAATTCTTTGCCTTGATTTTAAACCCAATATGAATAAATATAATAAGGCATTTCATACTAAATAATTTTTTTTATAATAAATAAGTTCTTTTTTGCAAGAAAACATTTAAATATTTAAGTTACCGAAAAATATGTTTTAAAATTATTTAACTTTTTTATTTCAGCTTCAATCACATGTGTTGCAATTACAGTGTTTCAACCTGTATTTCATAGGCGCATACTTTTATTTACATTCGTCGAAAGTGAATTTGATATAACATTTACACAATAAAAAAAAGAGAGTAATAGCGATATTATGGATTATTATGGAAAAAAAATGTTTCTTCAGGAAATTAAAATTTACGCTAAACGTGTGAAAATTATGATATTCGATTTCGGGGCATAACATATAAATTTTTTCTTTGTAGGTAATCACTAAAAACAAATCGTAATTTTCATTTCAGGTAGTCAACAAATAACACTAGATATTGCAAAACTATTAATAAAAACGTTTGCCAGTGTTATGCCTGGATATCAACAATGTGCGGGCTGCTTTAATCCTATAATTCGTAAATTCAGTGAAAAAGTGAGTCTGAAAAACCCTTAATTGAAGTATGAAGTCCATATTTTAAAAATGTATGATCTCAACAAAACATAACTGAAATATAAAACTCCTCAGGCAAGGAGTTTTAAGGAGAGGCTACTTGTTTATGAAAGCAGAAATGAAGGAAAGGCTTCATGTTTATGACAGAAAAAATCAAATTTAACTAGTAACATTCAAACCCGAGACTTGGCCCTAAATACAAAGTTCCAAAGGCACCAAAGCTAAAGAAAATAAGGAGATGTTTACAGTTCCAGACTCCCTAAATAACATTAAATAGAGTAAAAAAATATATAAATACAAAAGAATTTATTAGACGAATGCCTGGTAAAAAAGATATGGTATACGTAGAAACCAACACATACAGAAATTCTTTATGCTATGTAATCTTAAAGAACTGCAAGCTTCTAATAATTGCGAAAAATTATTTGAACTCTTAATTACTTATATAACTATGTAAGATTATTTGAACGCCAAGGAAAAATTCAAAAAAGATATACTACTCTGATTTAAAAAAGGCACTGGTAACGAAACGAAATTACTGGTAACACTAAAAAAAATGTCGCAATCTTTGCCTTTAGTTATTAAAGTAGATGTTAATTTTTTTCTTGATAAAAAAACAATTGCTTCCAAATTTAATAAATATTTTGTATCTGTAGGACCAGGGCCGTATTTAGCGGTCAGACCATCCCTAAGAGTTGGCAGCATGGGGTGCAGTGTGAGCAATATTTTTAAATTTTTATTCCTTATTTTCTAAAACACAACTATAAATATGTAAATTATTGCATTTTGTAGTTTAAGATAATCTCTCTTTTTTTAAATAAACGAATTAAAGTTATAGTAACCTTTTTAATGTGGCAGAACAACAATGTAAAAAACTAAAAAAGACAAATAATTATTTTTCCTCATCAATTCTGGCCGCCCCCTATCACCGGCCGCCCCTGAGCTTCAGCCCCGGTCAGCCCTTTTGTAAATACAGCCCTGTGTTGGACCAAACCTAGTCGAAAAAATTCCAAACCCTAAAAAATTAATAAAGGCAACATATGACCCTCTAAACTCGTTAGTTAAATCTATCGTTAAATCTAAATTTATTTGTCTTTTGAAGAGTTTGAAAGTGCTTTTAAATTGTTAAAGTCAAATAAAGTAGTTGGTCCTGATGATATCAATGGAAATTTTATTATAAGCTGTTTTAACGATTTAAAAGACATACTTTTCCAAAATTTTAAATGCTTAATTAATCAGGGAGTTTTTCCTGATGATTTAAAAATAACAAAAATTATTCCTATATTTAAAGAAGGAGAAAAACCTGTAAAACACTATGGTCCAATATCCATCCACTCTGTTTTTTCTAAAATTTTTGAAAAAATTTTGTACAACAGAATACACAATCACCTTTTAGCAAACAAATTGTTATATAACAATATTAATAAATAATATCCATATTATATAACAATATGGGTTTAAAAAAATTTTCAACAGAGCATGCTATTATTCAGCTTACAAGAAGTATATCAGACTCATTTAATAACTCTAAATTCACTTTAGGAATATTTATTGATTTAGCAAAAGCTAATCAATAAATATTCTTAAAGTAAAGAATAAATATTCCCAAAGCCTCGGATTTAATAACAATTATGTTTGCTGGTGACACAAACTTGTCACAAAAAAGCATTCCTACTCTACGTATTACGTGAACATCGAGTTAATCAAAATATCTGACTGGTTTAAGGCTAATAAGCTATCTCTTAACATTGATAAAACTAAATGGATTCTTTTCCATCCTCTTACAAAAAACATAAACTGCCAATTAACATGCCTCATCTTATGATTGACAATATACAAATTAAAAAAGTAACAGTAACCAACTTTCAAGGTGTTTGTATAGATGAAAATCTTACATGGAAAAATCATATTAAAAACTTATCATGTAAAAATTAAAAAAGTATAGGAGTATTGAAAAATGCAAAAAATATTTTAAATAAACGTACTTCGGTACAATTATATCACTCATTTATTTATTGTCAGATAAACTATGCAAACATTGCTTGAGATAAAATAAACTTAAACCTCTTAATGGGTAGCAGAAGCATGTAGCACGTCTTGTATATTTTAAAGAACGTTTTACTCATGTCAAACCTCTATTATTTGAAAAAAAAGTTTTTAATATATATGAACTTAATATCTTTAAAATTCTTTGTTTTATGTTTAAATATAAAACCAAGTCATCCCCAATTCATTTCCATAATTTATATTCTTAAAAGATAAAAAATAAATACATTTTAAGCAATGATAATTTTATCAAGTAGCCAATTTTTCTAACAAATCTTTTTAAATTTTGTATTGATTATCGCGGTCCATTCTCATTCAAGGAATAAAATAGCTTTAAAAAATTTTACTGAGGATTTTATTCATTAAAGTAACTTTTCTTCTTTTAAACGAAAGCTTAACTCTTTTGCACCTATATTTAATATTAGTAGACAGTAAAAATAAAAATACTATACTGAAAATGATATATATGGGAT